ATTAAATCATCGATATAGAAATCGTGTTGGATTATGTCCTTAATCGCAGGATCCAAGCACTCCTCACCTAGTTGCCATAGACAACGTGTACTTAAATAGCTACTACTTGACATTCCGTAAGTAATAGTATTCAGTCTATACGTTTTTATAGGAAAGGACTCATCTTCTCTCCACAGTATAAGTTGAAGATCTCGGTCCTCCTCATTGATTAGGATCTGGCGGTACATTTTTTCGACATCACCAGTCAGGAGGTATTTGTATTGCCGAGCTCTTATGAGGATGGAGAAAAGTGAATCCTGTATGGTGGGACCTACAAAGAGAATATCGTTGATAGAATACCCAGATGAGGTTGGAGCGGAGCCGTCGAATACCACTCGGGTCTTCGTAGATTCACTGCGGTCTTTGAAAACGGCGTGATGGCATAAAAAATAGGAATTTAGCGGTTTAGCAATAGGAGCCTCCGACAGATGATCTAGATCGGAGTACTCACGCATAAATTCGATATATTGTGATTTTACTTCTGGCTGTTTTCGGAATCGTTTCTCTAGATTTAGTAATCGTTTCTTGGCTAAATTATAGGATTGCCCACGGCAATCAACTGAATCCTTGAGAGGAAGTCCTACCGAAAATCTACCTGAATTTAAGCGAAAGGTATGAGACAAGAAATGGGATTCACACACCTTCTCGCTCTCACTAAGCTTGGACTTTAGGGGAACTTCCTCGAGTTCCCAAAACTTGGTGAGTTGCTGATGAATTTGGACATCGTGATCATTTAATGAGTTTGAAATGATGGAGTGGTTGCATTGAATAGTTGAACATGCAGTTTGACTATTGGCATGCATTGGACCTGAAATGATCCAACCAAATTGGGAACTCATTAGCCTTGGATTGTTGGGACCAAGAGAACGTTGTTCGCGGCCAAGTATGTCCCAGAATAAATCGGCACCTATGAGGACATCGGTCGGCGCTGGTTGGTGAAACATGGGGTCTGCAAGCTTAATATCATTTGCTATCTTTAACTTGGAAGCATCGATAGGTAGCCTCGGCAGGTTACCAGTTATTTTGGGTAGAACTAGAAAAGCCGATGTGACATTGAAATCACTTGCTAGTGACTTCAATTGAGCCACACAAGTTTGTTTGACCTGTCCAGTGTGATTATTGCCAATGCCTATGACGTTGACGAGGCAATTAGAATTTGTAGGTAAACACAACTTGTCTTTGAGAGATTGCGTTATAAAAGAGGATTGGCTACCACAATCTAATAAGGCGCGCACCCTATCAGTTTGATTTGTCTGAGGATTGGCCACCTCAATGAAAGCGGTAGAAAGTAGCACTTGGTTTGATGTCTGTTTCGAAAAGTTGACGGTAGTATCGTCAATGCTGTCAGGAATCGTCTCTACAGCACTGGAAATGGATTCTTTATCTGGTTTATGAAGGAGACTATTGTGTCTTCCCTTACATACGCGACATGGCCCTCTTACGCAGTTCTGCAACCCATGACCGAAGCGCAAACAATTTAGGCATAGCTTCAACCTACGTGCTTCAGCTATGCGCTCCTCCACACTCTTGGCTATGAAGGTAGGACAGTCATATATGCGATGCCCTTCATGACAGACAATGCACGTTTTGACTGGAGAGGGAGTAGCAAGGTTTGTATTTTTGTCGCTGGTGGCTGCAAAACATTTAGTTTGTGCCTTAGAACTAGAGGCTGTAGCTTTACATGTGGACGGAGTTAACTTGTAGACACTGGAGTTCCTATGTATAGATTCAAGGACATCAGCACGATCGATCAAAAATTTGTAAAATTGTTGTAAAGAAGGATATTCTTCCAAAGTACCACGCCACTCTTCCCACTTCACGCGAGTATGGTTGTCTAGTTTGGAAGTCATCATATGAATAATCAACACGTCCCACTTGTCTGTGGGCAGCCCTAAACTGCACAGTGCTCGTAGGTTTTTTGTGACGTTATCTACTAGAAGTTTTAATGATTTATCGACTTCACGAGTGATTTGTTCAATGCTGAATAAAGAGTTTAGATGATGATTTATCAACTGCCGCCTATTGTCATAACGTTCACATAACAATTTCCAAGCATTATTATAGTTAGCGCTTGAAACTTCAAAGTTGGAAATTATACGTGCAGCATCGCCCGTTAAGTAAGAAATTAGGTAGTGAAATTTATGAATGGGGGCGATACGCTCATTATTATGCACTATAGATAAAAATGTATCACGAAATTCAAGCCACCGAAAAAATGATCCGTCAAATTTAGCAATCTGTATTTGGGGCAATTTGAATCCTGCAGTATCATGATCGCCATGGCATTGAGATGAAGACGAGCGACCTGAGTTGGGGCTACCATCTTGACGAGGAATTTCGTTATGTGTTTGTATTAAACTCTGGGCAATAGCAATATTTGTGATAAATAACTGATCAATCTCATCCCGCTCGTCCACTTCACTGTTCAAATTTGCAGGATTCAATACCTCTATCTGACCTTGCAACTCGTCAAACCGTATTGAAAGTAACTCAAATTTACCAAGTCTAAGTGATAATTCAGCTAACTCAATCGGCGTCAGCTTTTCCTTAGAAGCAATATTTTGAATATAATTCTTAAACTGGGTGACTTGGCCTTTAATGGAACTACGTTTTGTACAAAGTTCTAGTAAGTTTTGCGAATCCTTTGCACTAGTTTCACCACCCATTGTTGCAAAAAAATCAATGTAAGTAGTTGTATTTTGTAGTTTAAAATATTTGCACCCTATATAAATTACAATAGCAATGAAACTAAATGCAAAACTATTAAATGAAAAAAAATGTAAATAGTCTTACGCTCCTCGACCTGGCGTCACCTGTGAACCGGGACCTGGGCCTAGGCGCTCAATTCGCAGGTCTCTGCTGGAGCCGGCCGGTCTTCTTGAATGAAGTATGCAAGTAACGCGCGATTACGCAACGTAAGCCTGGAATGTTCGGCAAATTCGGTAAATATACAAAGAAATATATCTACCCACAAAATAAATGGAGTTTAGACAATAATTACGACTATTTAAATAACTATTTGTTTGTACGAATAATTTCACGAAATTAAACTTTAGCAAAAACAAAATCTCTAAGTTTTATTTTCCGCTTGTGGGTAAAAAAATAATTTTGTTACGAAATTTAGGAACTTATTTTACTTAATTGCCTTTCTATTAATCTTTAGTTACACTGTATGAAAAAAAAAACGCTGTAAATGGCACAAGTATCGACTAATTGTACATAGCACTAATTCAGGAATTTAGGTATGATTTGGATGGGAAAATAGGAAAGGCACTTAGCTGCAATGGCTGGCTGCGGTTCGACGCTGACTGCTGATCGTTATACCGGCGTTGGCTGCAATGGCTAGACCTTCAAGTGTTCTTCCGACTAATTGGATGATGATAATGCAATTGGGAACGGCAGCTGGACGTGGCGAAATCTTGTCCGTCAATGGCGGCGCGCACCAGCAAACTTGACCGTCCGATTATTGTATCTTTCTGACGTATTTCTTTACGTCCTGTCACGGTCGCCAGATGTTCATGCACAGGTGTACACAAATGAAACTCCCGAACTTCGTTTAAGCTTGTATTGGCACTTCATACAGCGTTTTTGTAATTTTAAAATTTGAACAATGCTTGCGTTAAGAAAATTAGTGGAGAAGTGAAGGTTGTCAAAAAAAAAAGATAATTGTTCATAGTACGATTTTTGATGCACACTTTTGCCAACACTTTAACGTCAGGCGTTAACAGGAGCACTTTCCGGTAACCGATTTCAATAAAATTTGGCAAATAGATGTAATTCCACGTACTTTTGAAGTCGGTTTTTTTTAGTTCTCTGTACTGAGATTATTATGTCTAAATTGTAAGGAAATTTTATTATTTTTCTCATAAACCTAATCGGACTAACCATTTGATAGTAGAAATTTAAGTTTACTTTGTGTTCGAATAGAATACAAAACAATTTGCATTACTTAATAAATAGAATTGTATTAGAAGTCACTTAAAAATCCGAATAGATGCTGCGGAGTTAAATTCATTTCCCACGGGCTCAAAAAGGTAGTAGAAATAATAAACCGACTGTTGCACGTTTTCAGACAACTCCCAGCGCTTCTTTTCACTTCTAAAAATGTTTTTAAATTTCAAATCTGGACGGCAATAAAGGAACAATCCGTGCAAGCGGCTTCCATTTTCGAGGGACGGCTCTTGAAACGACAACCATGAACGTTTCGCGCCCTCTAGTTTTAACAAAATGTGTATTTTCAACCTCAAATGCAAAGTTAACAGAAGCAAAGAAATATTTTCTGTAAAGAAAATATTTTTCGCAAAAAACAACTTTAAAACCTTAAAACTGGAACATAGATTTCTTACTTACCTCTTCTAAATAATTCAAGTAAATAATTAAACATTAAAGTGACAATAAATCTATGAACCCCTACTGCAAAGACGTTCTTTGAAGATCGTGTGCTGTATTGTTGCCAATTTTTTCCAATTTGCTAAGGTACGTAAAACGCTTGTTACACTACTCGATTTCAAGAGACTCTAACACTTAATTAGGGACTTGTAATAATGATTAAGTAGCTAAGTGGTCCCTTATTACGGCGACTAATATATAAATTATTAAGAGTGCCGCCCTAACTTGGGGCCACGCCCACCATTGAAGCAGGGCCCTTGAAATCGTGTTTTTTTAACATTAAGTGACGGGACGAACAAGTCATGCGCCTGATGGTAAGCTACACGCCTGTCCATAACAGCTGCAGTGCCACTCAGAGCTTTAAATCGCAAAGATCTGATGGGCAATTTTATTATTTACAAGTATTCGATTATACTAGCATGAAATTTTAAATGATATTTGAGAATACTAAACTCGAATATTGAGTAATACTTCATGATAATATTCTCAAATACTTTGATACAAAAAATTGGCAATTGTATTTACAATTGTATACTACTAAAAAATATACGAAAATTAATATTCAAATTTGCAAATGTAAGGAATACGATCTTCAATAGATTTTCTAATAATACTCCGATAGCCTAATTTACCCCTTTCAAGAACTGTTTTGAGAAATCCTGAAACACGTAACTATTTATTATAAACTTTAAGTATCCAAACCAGTTTGACACAAAGTGCGCCACGCGTTAAACAGTTCTCATATAAACTTTAATACCCCTTTTTACCACTATTTAGAGGTAGTTTTGAAAAAATATATAATTTCAGTCTTTTACAAAAGTTTCAGCTTTGTAAATTCGAAGAATACTATTTTTCATACAAACATTTTTACCCATTTTCACCCTCTTAGAGATTGAATTTCAAAATATCCGTTCTTAGTACGTCTACACCAAATAAAAGTAACACACCCTCGAGTTTTCATGTTTCTAGGACTTATAGTTTTTGCTGTGCGCACATCTACCAGTGAATAACTCTGGAACCTACTACTTCATATTAAATAACTTGGGTATTTTCAAGACGAGAGTGAATAGGCATTATTTAGGCGCGGATACCTTATCGTCGACCTCATCGTCACTTTCCATCAGGTGTGGAGGTCAAATGCCCAATTATATTTAATAATTAAAAACTATAAAAAAAATCCATTTCTATTTTTTCCTTTATTGATTAATGTCTTAAATTTAACGTATCTATCCAGTAGGCTATGAAAATAAAAGCAATATTGTCAATTCAAAATATTACTAACAATGGTCATACAGCATAAGGAGAATGATGGTTTGTTTGGTCCTGGATACAATTACATACTAGTTCTGCTGCTACGAACATTTGGATTCCCTGTTTCCGTCAATCAACCTCACGATGCACTACGTTTTGGCACCACAGGTTATGCTATTTTATACGTCGCGGCATACATAATTGTTGGGATACCAATTGTGTACCTGGAGCTGATCATTGGTCAATTCACATCCCGAGACTGCATCGATGTGTGGAAAATCCGCAAGTGTTTATCCCACATAGGTTATTTTCTTGTATTTTGGCAAATACTTACCTACACATATAACCACATGGCCGCCACTTTTGTGACTCACTATTTTTTGATCAGCTTCGAAAATCCCGGTCCTTATTATACATGCGATTGGTGGTCAAAATCGAACTGCGACATTTTAACGCGTAACTACACACTCAATAAGTATTGTCTCCGATTAAGACATATGAATCTACGAATGTGCCATGATCTGTACACCACTATGCCAGAATATCAATATTTTAGATCAAACATACTGGGACCGTGGAATTACTTAGGAATTTCCTGGCGATTGTCTCTAGCTTCAATATTTACATGTGTATTTCTGTTCCTAAGTTGCTTTAAAAGAATGCAATCTTTGAAATGGTTTCTTTATCCTATCATAATATATCCAATTTTTGGATATGCTATACTGATGATCGGTACACTACGACAAAAAGGAATCATGACAAAATTTAAAGAATCCATTGATTTCTCATTTCATGTATTTTTACTAGAGTACAAACCGGTACGGGTAATAACACAAGTAATTTTCAGTATTGGTGCAGGCACCGGTGTCTTTATAAACTTATCTTCTAATGCACAGTTTCGATTACCTTGTTTTACCAATGCTGTAGTGATCGTACTGGTCACGGCTACTTTCAACATACTAACCGTACTTACGTTTTCCATGATGACCTGTCCATACGCAAAAGAGTATGGAGTACCTCCAAGAACAATTTTACGACTGCCTATATCTTTTATATTTGAAATGGTGCCTACAATGCTTTATGAATACGACAACAAATCTTTCTACAACGTTGTCTTATTCAGCTGTCAAGCAGCTCTGGGACTTTCTTCTAGCTTAGTACTTACATTTAGCCTGACACAGTTTGTCTTTAACAGATACCCTGCAGCTAACAAATATCCTTCCTTAATTTGTTTGGCATGGGTACTGGTTACGTTTCTCAGTACTATGCCACTATTAGGCAAATTTGGTTACTCAGTAGTCATGCATGCTTATGCCTACATCCATGGGCTGTCCATTTTCTTTGTTTTATTGGAGTATTTCGTTTTCGTATACTGGTACGGATTTGACCGATTGCAGCAAGACGTACATTTTATGCTTGGAACTCCCCCGAAAACTTACATAAAAATATGTTGGGCGCTGTCTGGTTTCGTATTGACATTTGCTTTTTTTCGGGATATATACCGAAGTATAAGAAAGGGAACGATCAATGACAAAATAGGTACAGGATCGTTAGGGGTCCTTTTGGGAATGTTGCTGCTGGTTACAATCACAAAGTTGATTATAGCTGCTGTAAGAGGGCGTTTTAACGAGTCCGTCAAATTGAATTCAAATTGGGGTCCTAAGAGCGAACTATTGCAAAGGTCTAGGGGAATGTTTACAGCACAAGCAATGACCAAAGAGTACATTTATCGAAAGTATCATTTGCAGGCAGGCATTGCCGCTCGGCAAAAGAGAGCCAATGTTAGAATACGAACTATCTAGGTGAAGAACTGATATTAAACAATAATTTGTTAGTATTTGTACTTATGTTTTAGAGTAATTTACTTAACATTGTAGCTTTAAAAAAGCAAGGTCTTTTTTTCGTAATAAACATTTCTTACAACGTTTTTATATGAAACTGCCTTTGTTAACAAACTTAACTTACAGTTGTTACAAGTTATTACATAGTAATTTAATTGTTTGTAGTATTTTTATAAATTTTTATTAATACAGATATCGAACAAAGAAAAGTTCCTTCGATTTGGATGTTTGTGTTTGTTTGATCTTTGTATCAATTTCTTAGTATTTAAAAAAAAGACAAATATTGTGGTAGTATAAAAATACCATGATATTGAATAAAAATACTTTTTTGTTAATTTTGTAGTAATTTACTTGTATCGAATTACTTTCAAAAATGTTTCTTATGTCTGTTGCTTTTTTTATCAAAATGTTTATAATTGTATGAAAATTAAATTAAAAAACTCGTACTTGCGTTTAACTTTTAACAAAATATCCTGTCCTGACACAATATTGAAATTTATACGTATAAGTGCATTATAGAGCGGTAACACACGGCGATTTTTAGCAGCGATGCAAACGCGATGCAGTCGCTAATCGTCTACCTTTACACACACGCCATTTTAAGCGGCGATACAAGCGCGCGACTGCATCGATACACTTGGGATTTATAGGCGATTGCATCAATGCAATCGCGCGTTTGCATCGCTGCTACAAGTCGCCGTGTATAACTACTCATAATTGGTTATTAATGTAGCAAACTATGCGTGTAAGATAACAGCATACACATTATTCTAGGTAGATACAATGGTCCAATAAGCGTTAACTCTTTCGTCGTTATAATAAATAACATAATCGACATTTTTAACGAAATTGAGTTATTAAAATATCTGCAATCAGCGAAACGAGGTCTACACCCACCTACATATAAGCGGTTTGTTTTTGTATCTTATTTAGTTTCAGTTTTATTGTTAAGCAAAATTGGTGTATTTCTTTTTAGAATGTCAAGTGTCTGGAAGAACAAATTGTACGCCGGATGGTAAGCTACACGCCTGTCCATAACTATTGCAATACTACTCAGAACTTTAAACCATAAAAAATTGACAAGTCCCATGTGCCTGTAATTTCACCAGCACCCTTACCCTTCAAAACTGGAACACAGTAACGCTGACACGACTGCTTGTCGGCAGGAATAGGTTAGGTGGCAATACTTCCCTGGACGAACTCTTTCACAAGGGGCTCTATTGCTACTAAAAAGTTGCCAATATCTCAAAGGTTACCAAAATGCAAATGCGCTGTTTTATGCAAGAAGGGCAGAACAGGGGGCCTACCTACTTTCCAAAAACAATCTTATTTCAATGTAAGCTTAAGCTCTACTAACTTAAACCTACTTTTAGCTACTTTTAAGTAAGCTTGTTATAATATTACTCATATTCGTACCATGACAAACTTGTCTACCAAGAAATGTATTATTGCTAAAATGACTGAAAGAACGAATGATTTTCCAATATTGTATATTCCTTACTAAAAATAGGAAAGAAATACTAGAACTGTATAATGCCATCTCTTTCTTTTTTGATGTTCCGAATCGTGTTATCGTAGAATAATGTGAAAGTACTTAATGTTATTTACATTCAGAGAATTTCAACTGTCAAAAAAGAAAAGTATGTAATAATGAAATCTATTATAATTACGTTGTTTCAAATATTATTCCGCATTTTCATGAAGAAAAATAAATAAAACAAGCTGAGTCTTGATAGTCACGTTGTGAATTCGAAATTATAGTCTAGTGTCAACTGTTAGTTTCTCCAAGGAGCATATAGATGGCGATGTCATAATTTTACGAAATAAACATCGCGTATTTTTATTTAACGAGAAATTATTTCCTATGTGCTTTTAAATAAAAAATGAACAAAATATTGAAGAGATATATGTAAATAAATAAGTTCAACTTAACTTTTAATCATTACAAATCAATATTAAGACAATAAAACTGAAAATAATATTGTTTGCAATGCATCCGTGTAACTATTTTAGGATTGCTAAATTTGACATAAGAGCAATATTACTTTAATGTCAAAGTCGCGTCATGGTACGACCTGAGTGAATGCATAGTCACAATACTGCCAATAAAACATCATAGTTTTAACATTACAAATAAGCTTACTTTAAGCGCGTTATGGTACGAAAAGTCAATGTAAGGTTAAAGTAATATTGTTTTCAGAGGTAGTGGTAGGCCCCCTGGTATGTAATATAGCCAATTAACACGACAAATCATTAAATATGTCAAATAACTGCAAAATTTCAAATTTTACCTTAAATAATTAAGATACTCTCAATGTTTCATGTGTAGTCAAAAGTTATTCGTAAAACTTGAAACACAAGAATTTTCACACATAAAGCAAATGTATTCAATCGGATTCATAGTTTGTAGGCTTTTTGAATAATAAGATGGCTTGCATAATCCTAACACGTCCGCACCACAGTGCTTAGGTGTAAAGCCGGGTTCACGGTATAACACGGTTCAAAAATATATCAAAAATTTGGTCTATTAAAACGACGAATGTGTTCTGATTTTCGGGCGAAGACGGCTTTGATATTTGAATATAGTTTTCATTTATTCATTGCGAAACTTGTACGTTAATATAAAACATCATTTTACGTTACTATTTATAATGGTCGTGAATTGTGCTGTGTACGGCTGTTTAAACATTCTCACATCAGGAATACCGTTGGATCTGAAAAAAAGATTTGTGAAAGCCTATGTCTGGAGCACTGCACTCTATGGATGTGAGACCTGGACCATCACAAAGAGAGACAGAGAGCGATTGGAGGCATTTGAAATGTGGTGCTGGAGACGTATGGAGAGGATAAGCTGGACCGAGAGAGTGACTAATGAGGACGTTCTGGAGAGGATTGGGGAACGGAGAGGCCTGACAGAGACGATAGAGAATAGGAGGGGAAAAATGTTTGGACATTTGTTGCGCAACGACGAACTATTGACGGTTGTTGTTGAGGGAAAGATGGAAGGAAGGAGACAGAGAGGAAGACTTGAATGGCATTCTGTGACCAAATAAAAAGAAAGGTTAATGTGAGCAGTTACAGGGAGGTCAAGGAGTTGGCTATGGACCGTGAGGAGTGGAGGAGGCTTCACCGACAAGAGCATGGCTCTTAAATAAAATGAATGAATGACGGCTGTTTATCATCATTTTCCGAAAGATGAAACGAAGTAAGTAAAAAAACTTATGTCTGAGACTCATTCAGTTATTGTATTCTTCATTTAGTTACTGCAGAGTAATATATGTATGTATACACAATACAGATTAATTATATCAACATAATGAGACGCCGTGACTTCGTGAGCTAGTAGACAAGGGTTCGCGAATTTTCTAATCGTATTGCCGATAAATATTACGTAGGTAGTGAATAATATCTAATTATTAACTAAACTTGTTCAAATACCTTGGTTACCTTACTTAAAAGTACATGTCTGAAATATAACATTTTTAATGATTTTAATATATTTTTGAAATAAATCTTCAGTATTACTCTAGTTAGTGAATTAATGAAAAATATAATAATATATCGATATAAATATCTAATAGACATGTTTAATTATTAGGCTTCTATTAATGGAATCATAGATAACAGATTCGCGTTAGAATTTTCGCTATGGTACCGCTCTGACTACGTAACGTAATAGTGCGAGAAAGTGATGGGTAACCCTGCCACTTCACGCACACATTTGCGAATATGCAGATAGCACCTTGCTGTGTGTAGTAGTAGTAGTAGGTAAATAATTTTCGACTGTTGTATGGAGTGTCCGGGGTGTGGCCTGAGTTTTGGATTCTTTTGTTTTTTTTTTCAAAAATAAGTGCACATTTCATTTTCATCTCACCTGATGGCAAGTGACGATGAAGTCGACGATGGAGTATGCACACCTAAATAAAGCATATTCTTCACTCTCGCCTTGAAAAAGTCCAAGATTTTTAAGATTCAAGATTTAAGTTGTAGACTTTAAAGCAACGACAAATCAACCAGGTGGGCAAAAAATATAACACCGGCTAATGTTATTTCAGTGGGCACTCGCGGGTCTCTGAACGCCATCTGTTCAGATTCTATGTAGCGACGAAACCCTCCTGCATATTTCATTGCAGCGCCCACCCGGGGACATGTCATCACGCCATCGCCCCTTTAGTAACATATTATTATGACCACTATAGGATGACTTCTGACCTCGATTAGTCTAATGCATAAGTTAATGCCCTGTCAGAATTCGTCCATTTTATTGGCATTGAATTTAAGATTAAAAGCGCTATAGAGTAAGACTTAATGAATATGTCAAAGAGCCCAGAAAAATTTCAGATCACAATGTCCAAAGACCACTGAATATACAGGATATTCCTTGGCTCATGGGACAAATAATAAAAACTTTTACTATAAAGTAAATAACTTTTATCACCAAAATGAAGATAATGTTTTTATGAGGTCCCATTGTCATGCAAACAAATAATTAACAATGGGGTTATCTTATTATTTGTCCCTGACCGTAGAAACAACAAATATGAAGAGGATATTCGTAAAAAAGTTTTCTTTAATGGCTTTGTTATGAATATTTACTGATCCGTAATATTGGTTAGTTTTTCCAAATTTTTAAGTTGTCGAAGATCCTTGTGTTATGGTCCTAAGTACAGTTGTACTCACATACAAAACTGAATTTATGAGACAGTTTATTCAGGGCATTGTATTTGTGAAGGTTTACAAAACGGCTGTCTACTCTTTGTTTGTTATGCTTGTACTTTTTTCGTTGCATGATAAGTAAATATACGTTACATATTTAAATTATTCCTTGTATTTTTTATTAGTACTTATTTTTAAAATAGACAGTTATTTTGTAGTTGTAGAGCTAGCTAATTGTGAATGAGTTCGTCCAGTGAATATAGGTGGCAATACGCCACCTTACTTATTTCTGCCGCCAAGCAGTAATTCCAGCATTACTGTCTTCCGGTTTTGAACAGTGCTGGTGAAATTACAGGCGCATGGGACACGTCAACTTACATCTCACGGTGACGGGCGCAGTGCCCCTGAGAACTTTACGATTTAGAGCTCTGAGTGGCTGTTATAGACAGGTTTGCAGCTTGCCATCAGGTGCACGACTTGTCCGTCTCGTCACTTGATATTATAAATAATAAAAATTAAAAAAATCCGTTTTTGCCGTAGTGACTTTTGCAAAAGGATTGACAAGGATTTATAAGCATATATATATGCATGCTACGGTATAGACAAATTCAAATTAAATGTTTTTTTTTAATTTTGGACGTTCATCCATAAAGGTTAGTATCAGCACACTAAAAATGGGGTTAGTTTCACAAATTATTATCTTTTTTATATATAAATAAGTATTCCGGTCTAGTGCTCATGATAAAAACCCTGGACTCTGAACTCAATGACATTGAGGAGACTGTTACCGCTGCCACTATTTTTACATATCACGGAGGCCGCTCTTACCGCATAATAGCTTCAATATTATCACGAAATTTCGTGTCCTGTGGTTGCTTTACGATTGTCATGAACAAACAGTAAAACTACAAATGTAGTCATTCTAATTTTCACGTATACAATATATTTTACGTTCCCCTTTGAGCGGGACAGGGATGAATGGTTCCACTTTTAAGCTTCGTGTCCCGCTGTCCCCAAAATACTTAACAATGTTCCACTTTGAAAAAACAGGACCAACGTGACAATAAATATATAAAAAAATGGCGCGAAAACGAAAAATATGTAAAGCCAGCCCATCAGACTACACAAGGTAGTTTTTTTTTTAAATTTGTGATCATAAAATAATTTTAGTTCCGTTTTAATTTTTTTTAATCATTAACGTTTCTCTATCTGTTTTACTTTTAAAACAATAAGAAATCTAGAGGCGTCCCGCTCTGAGAGAAAGAAATATTAGTCACTTTACGTATACCTTTTACGTTTCACACATAACATTTGCACCAGCAAATGGAAACTGAACACGTTCACGTTTCTAATTTCAACCTAACACTTAACCTATTTAAAAGTGTCTAAAGTACCCAAGGCAAGGAGGTCGAGAACCACAAAACGGCTGACGTCTTTAGGCTAAGAGCTGAGGCTCTTTACTCCGCCGCACAGCTAATTATACCATATAAGTAGATATAGCACAAAGTTGCATTAATAAGACATACTATTAATTTAATAGAGCTCCTTGTGAAAGAGTCCATGGTAGTACTGCCACATCACCTATTTCTGCCACCAAGCATTAATGTCAGTATTACTGTGTTCCGGTTTTGAAGTGTAAGGGTGCTGGTGAAATTACTGGCACTTGGGACTTGTCAACTTATGTCTCAGGGTGACGGGCGGAGCGGCAGTGCTCCTCAGATCTTTGCGATCTAAAGCTCTGAGTGGCACTGCAACTGTTATGGACAGGCGTGTAGCTTACCATCAGACGCACGACTTGCTAGTCCCGTCTCTTGATATTATAAAAAATAATAATAATAATTCATCATCATCAACCCATTTAAGCGCAGGCCACATCGCGAATCCGTGTGCAGTTGCTGGTCTGCCATCGGACGCGTCCCCAGGTGGCGGATAGGGGAACGGCTCCCAGATATGGGAGCTACCGGCTTCGGCCGGCGCGGACCAAAACCAGCACCGGGAGGGGAGGAAGATAGCGTTGGTTCCGTCCGGCGCTATCGAACTCGTAACCGAGACGGTGGGCGGTGCTCGGTCTCAGAACCGGCTCCGGCCAACCCGTAATCCCACATGGAGTGTGACCGGGGGTCCTCCTCACTGAGAGGAGGGCTGCGAGGAAGAAAACCTCTATAAAAAATCACCCCAATCCCAAGTTCTAGCGCCCGGCGATGGGATGAATGGCTGGTGGGTGTCCAGTCATCAGGGCGCACCAGTGGGGAGCTCACCCTCTTTCAAAGCAAGCATAAATATGGAACAGGCACGTTTTAAAAATGGTCCCCAGGCGCGTCCCCGAAAGGGGGAATCCCACCCATCCGCTTCGCCGGATAGCAGCCCCTCGTACTCTGGGGGGGGCAAAAACTGCCTCGTGGGTCGGCCGGAAGTCGACCCTCGTGAACACGACAAACGCACACCAATAACGGACAACGATTTTGCACACGACACGGTAAATACGGATCGCATGAGTGCCTCCAATGTGGTGGTGAGCATTCTCTCCGACAATGAGTCGGAGGGTGAGACGATGCTCTCGGCCCTTTCGGACGGAGAGGCCACCCTCTCTGAGGGGAACTCACGCGTGGTTTCGCGCTCCAGGTCAGCCGGAGAGAAGGGATCCTCAAGGGCTCCCAAGCGCGCCGCCCCCCCGTCGAACGAATCTATGGAGCCCGAAAGGGCTCCAAAGATTAGCACGGCCCGTAGGGGCAGACCTAGAGGCCCCGGGAAGTCCTTCCCCGGTGCGGCAACGGCAGGGAGGGGGCGCTCTAGCTCGTCAGAGTGGAACGCCCTCCAGAAGGATGCGGACGCGGCCTTCTTCAAGGAGGCCCTGGGCCGGGGTCAGGCCGGATAGGCTGAACCCGATGGCATGGCGGGCCTCATGCGAGAGACCCTGGCCCAGGAGGCACGAGACGACCTCGCAGCAATATTGGCGGAGACCGCCAAGTCCTCTAACCTCAAGGGGACGGTGGTCAAAGCCATAAAAGAGGCCGTCAGGAAGGTGGAAGGAGCCGTCAATTTCCTTCACCGTGGAGAGACGGCGACAGAGGCGGCGCGGCGGATGTCGGAAGACAACCGCCGGATGAGGGGGGCAGCTCGCTGCTCTGGAAACGGAGATGAAGGCCCTGAGGGGGGCCTACTCCGCTGCTATGGCCAAGGCCAAGGCACAGGTGGCCCCACCGCCGTGCAGCTCCGCGGAGATGCACGCGGGAGTGAGGGAGGCCATCGACGATCTCAGGCGGGACATCTTCTCCTCGATGAGGAATATGATCGACGCCCGCCTAGGGGACATCGAAAGACGCCTCCCTGCGGAGTACCTGCGCCCCCCCCTGGGCGGCAGAACAGGGGCACCCCCGAGGCGACGCCTGCCGTCACCGCAGTCGCCCCGAGGTTGCTCCCCTCCGCCGCGGCCTCCGAGTCGACGCCGGGCCCCTCACTGGCTCGAAACGCGCCTGCCGGCCAGCGGCCCAGCAAGAAGGCCAAGAGGAAGGCTCCCCCGCGGAAGGTTACTGCTGCCCCTCCTGCGGCGCCCCCCCGCCATTCTTGCCGTCCCTACCGCCCCTGACGCGACGGCCTCCACGCCGACTGACCAGGCGGAAACGCCCTGGTCACAGGTAGTCGGCCGCAAGGCCAGAAAGGCCAAAACGGCAGCTGCCGCCCCCCAAGCGGCACGGGCCCCCGCCAAGGCGGCCCCTAAGACGGCTCCCAGACCCAGGGCTCTCGCCACCCCAAGATCATCGGCGGTGGTGATCACGCTGAGGCCCGAAGCGGTGGCGGAAAAGGGGGCCACTTACAAGGTGGTCCTTGAGGCGGCGACCGCTGCGGTCGACTTGGGCAGCCTCGGCATCCCGCACGTGCGGGTGCGGAATACCCAGACGGGTGCCCGCATAGTCGAGGTGCCCGGGGCGACCAGCGCCGAGAAGGCCGACACCCTGGCGGCCAAGCTGGAGGAGGCGATCGGGGGGCTGGCGACAGTAACGCGGCCTACCAAAACCGCCGATCTAAGGGTCACCGGTTTTGACGAGTCAGTGACCCCGGAGAAGATCCGGGCGGTGGTGGCCGCGAAGGGCCAATGCCCCCAGTCCGCCGTGAGCGTGGGAGCCGTCAGACTGGCCCCCAACGGGAGGGGGTCAGCCCTCGTCCGCTGCCCGGTGACGGCAGCCCAACGGGTGGCGGCTGCCGGCCGCATATTGGTGGGGTGGTCCTCCGCCGGGGTCCATGTGATGGAGCCCCTCCCCATGCGCTGCTTCAGGTGCATGGGGATTGGTCACACCAGAGCCCTCTGCCCGTCCAGTGTGGACAGGAGCGGGCTCTGCTTCAGGTGTGGCCAGGTGGGACACTCGGCCTCCGGGTGCACGGCGACCCCGCGGTGCTCGGTCTGCACCGCGGCTCGCCGTCCAGCGGACCACGTGATGGGGGGGCGATCTTGCGCTCCCTCCCCCACCAAGGGCAAGTCGGCGGGGACCACAGGCCCCCCCCTATTGAGGGACAAAGTATGGAGCAGTAATGCCAGCACGCCACCATATTATACTGCAGGGTAACCTCAACCACTGCGCCAGGGCACAGGACCTATTGGTCCAGGCCATGGCGGAGTGGGGGGTTGCGGTGGCTGCTGTGGCGGAGCCATACTTTGTTCCCCCGCGAGGGAATTGGGCGGGGGATCGGGAGGAGACGGTGGCCATAGTGGCGTCGACTGCCGGACACTCCCCCCCTCTAGTGGTGAAGGAACGCGGGTCAGGGTTCGTAGCGAGGTGGGGAGAAGTCATCCTAATTGGGGTGTACTTCTCTCCAAACCGCACCCTGGCCCAATTCCAGGCGTTCCTGGAGACCCTAGAGAGGGCGGTGAGGAGGGCAGCTCCGACGCCGGTGTTGGTGTTGGGGGACTTCAACGCCATGAGTGCGGCGTGGGGTTCTCCGGTCACCAATACCAGGGGGCCAGAGTTGGAAAATTGGGCGGCAGTCCTAGGGCTAGCCATCCTCAACCGGGGCCATGCCAACACGTGCGTTCGGCGAAATGGGGGGTCAATCGTGGACGTCACGTTTGCGACCCCCTCATTAGCCGCGCGAGTATCAGGCTGGCAGGTCCTGGAGGACGAGGAGACCCTCTCCGATCATAAATATATACGGATGAGGGTCTCCCATACGCCGCCCACGACGGCCTCCAACACGGCCCCCGGGGGGGGCTTTCCCAAATGGGCACCCCCCCCCCCCGGGCCTTGGGCCCCCAGGGGAGGCGGCCAGGGGCCGGGGGGGGGGCCCCCCCCCCCCCCCTCCACCGGCCACCGTCGACGTGGAGCAGAGGGCGGTCAAGTTCAGGGAAGACTTGACCGCCGTCTGCGAGCAGGCCATGCCCAGGGTCAGAGGGACCCCGGGCAAAAAGAGTGTGTACTGGTGGACCGCGGAGATTGGGGACCTCCGCACCGCCAGTTATCAGGGAGGCGCTGAGGTACCATAATATCCCCAGGTACCTCAGCCGTCTGGTGGAGCACTACCTGGAGGACAGGGTGGTGCTCTACCAGACGAGGGAAGGGAGGCGCGCCGAGCGCCCAATGAGGTGCGGAGTACCCCAGGGGTCCGTATTAGGACCACTACTGTGGAACCTGGGGTACGATTGGGTGCTGAGGGGCGCGCTGCTCCCCCGGACGGCGGTCATCGCGTACGCCGATGACACGCTGGTGGCCGTCCGGGGGACCACCTTCCAGGAGGCGGCCCGAAGAGCCTCAGTAGCGGCGGACATGGTGGTCCGCCGAATACAACTGCTGGGACTCGAGGTCGCCGTGCCGAAGACGGATGTGGCCGTCTTCGGCGGGAGGGGTAGAGGTTGGGCGGTGCCGGCAGGCGCCCACATCTCCATCGCGGGAGTATCGGTCCCGGTCAAGTCCCAGATGAAATATCTGGGACTTGTCCTAGACCGGCGATGGAACTTCGGGGAGCATTTTCGGCAACTTGCTCCCCGAGTAGTGGGCGCCGCATCGGCGTTGGGCAGGCTCCTGCCCAACCTCGGGAGGCCGGGAGCCCCATGCAGAAGGCTATACGCCGGGGTGACCCGGAGTATGGCCTTATACGGGGCTCCCATTTGGAGTGGGGCCTTATCAGCGGCGACGAAAGTCGCTGCTGAGGAGGCCCCAGAGAGTGGTCGCCCTGCGAATGTGCAGGGCGTACATGACGGTGGCCTGCGCTGCCGCATGCGTCCTCGCCGGTACTCCGCCGTGGGACCTCGAAGCCGAGGTCCCACGGCGCACCTACCGGCGGGGAACGAGGGACCGAGGCGAGCGACCCGCTCCCCAAGAGGTGGAGCGGGAGCGCCGCCTCGCGGCGCGGCGCATGCGGGACCGGTGGAAAGAGGGCTTGGCGGATCCCCCCTATGGTGCTCGTACCATAGAGGCGATTCGCCCTGTCCTCGTAGAGTGGGTAAACCGGTCCCACGGGCCACTGTCGTACCATCTTGTGCAGGTGCTGACCGGGCACGGCTGCTTCGGTCACTACCTGCACAAGGTGGCGAGGAGGGAACCGTCCCCGTCGTGCCACGAGTGCGGCGCTGCGTATGACACCGCGCAGCACACCCTAGAGGTGTGTAGCCGGTGGGATGAGCAGCGCCGCATTCTGACGGGGACTATAGGGCAGGACCTCTCGTTGCCGAGCGTGGTTGCCGCCATGCTCGATAGCGAGGAGTCCTGGGAGGCGATGGCCTCTTTTTGCACAGAGGTTATGTCGCAAAAGGAGGCCGCGGAGCGGGTGCACGAGGACGCGGCGGACGCGCACCCGTTCCGGCGCAGACGTACGGGGAGAAGGCGAAGGCAGTTCGCTGCTTTCCGACTCGTCCCTCCGTTGGCGCGGGAGCCCTGGCGCAAGCTAGGGCGGCCGAGCGGCGTCGTGGTGAATGTTCACTGATCCCACGGCGCCGACTAAACCGGCGAGAGGGAAACCCGGGGGGGTTTTAGTGGGGTGGGCCTTCCAGTGTGGAGGGAGAGTCCCCACATAACTCCTGAGTCTCCCTGGGCTCAGGGGTATCCATAAAGATTTCCCCCCCC